ATATTAATTGAATTAAATAATAGATATTTCCATACATATGCACTAATTATATATATTCAAAGTGTTTATGTCCAAAGTTGATGGACTCTAGAGCATAACACTTATAGTTCTTTCCACCTTCAAATTTCTCTCGTTGTCTATAAATTGAGCAAGTGAGATGAATTAGATTTGGTCGATTGAATCGTGTTATATGAAAGTTGTTTTAAAATTTTAGGGTATTCAATGTCTTAAAATTAACTTTTTTCCTCATTTTTTGAGGACGCTCTCATTCTCCATATATCTTGCAAAATGTTACAACTAATAAAATCATCCCCTATTCAACAAACTTCTAGGATCCTGCACAAGTTCAAGTTTCATCGTCTCTTTTTTTGTTATTTCCACCGTTTTACATTAATGACAATATTGCGTCTAAGTTTGGGAGTAATTACGTTAGTGTTAGTAAATGTGTCTATTTTTTTAGCCCATGTTTGAGTCACGTTAAAATTTTCATTATCATTCTTCTATACATTTTCAACTACACATTCTTCAATAAAATAATATTTTTATCACATAAATAATTTTTTCATTTTTTTTAACCACACATTTTCCATCAATTTACTATTGCAAAATACATTCTTCTAAAATAATGTGGCTCAAACACATATATTCTTCATATTTTAGTTCCAACTGCTTTTGCTATCTTCTTATCCATACCAAAGAAACTATTTATAGAAGTTTGGTAAACTATTTATAGAACTTCTATCAACTTCTAATATAAACTATAGAACTTCTATCGAGTTGCATGTTAGGATAAATTATAAAACTTTTGCGCTTCTTTTCTTTTATGCTTTTTGTATGTATATATTTAAATCATTTAATAAATTCTTTTTTTGAAAATCAGATGTGGAGATCGTTTACACCAAAGACGGCGCATGCTCTACTAAGCCTTTGCCCTGCCCTTATTGGCATATGCTCCTATGACAGAAAATTTAAAGGCTCCTCAATAGTTGGAGGATGAAAGTGTTGCTTCTTTATAGTTTTAGGACGTAATAGAAGCTTCAGAGATCGAAATTAATGCTTTATCATAATTGGAGGACGGAATTTATGCTTTAGCCTAGTTGTAGGATGAAATTGATGCTATATCATAGTTAGAGGACGAATGGGATGCAATATTATAGTTGGAGGATGAAATAGATGTTTCTATATAGTTTAAGGACGAAACTATGCTTTATAATAGTTTGAGGATAAATTCGTTGCTTCTTCATATTTTGAGGACGAAATTAACGCTTTTATATTATTTGTTGACTAAATTTTTACATAGTTGGAGGACGAAATTGATTCTTTATTATAAATTTTAGGACTAATTTGAGTCTTGTACATAGTTGGAGGATGATATTGACGCTTCATCATAGTTGGGGAAAATTCGGCCACCTCCTCCTCCTACCCCTTCTTCATCTCTCTAGTCTCTTCTCTTGCTACAAATCCTTTTCCCCGTAGTCAAG